ACGTCATGCCCTGAAATGTGTAAAACCGTGCAGCTTTAGCGAAGCCAACCAGGCTCAGGGAAACGCCTCAGCCAGACAGTGATGGCGACAGCTGTTACTGGCAATCACCACAGTCGCCTTTTTTATGTGAGGGATTTGACTACCGGCACATTATTCCTGGTAGATACAGGCGCCGAGGTCAGTGTTATCCCCCCCTCACTATCCAGGCGATCAGCCAAAATACCTGGAAAACTTTCACTCCGTGCTGCCAACCAAACCAACATACAGACGTATGGCGAACAGTCAATGATTTTAAATTTGGGACTACGCCGACGTTTCACATGGATCTTCATAGTAGCTGACGTACGTCACGCTATACTAGGTGCAGACTTTCTAAGTCACTTCAATCTGTTGGTTGATATCAGCAAGAAAAAACTGGTTGACAATTGCACCCAACTCAAGATCCATGGTATTACATGCGACTACTCTGTTCATAGCATCTGCATAGAAAAGCCGGAGAGTGAAATGTTCTCTGCTTTATTGCAACGATTTCCTAAAATCCTTAAACCATCATACAATGTCGAAGATATATCTCATACAGTTACGCATAAAATCATCACAACAGGACAACCTGTGAAGGCACGTCCACGACGGTTACCACCCGATAAACTAGCAGCAGCTAAGTCGGAATTTGAACATATGATGCAGTTAGGTATCATACGACCATCTAACAGCCCATGGTCTTCACCTCTGCACATGGTACCTAAAACTAATCATGACTGGCGACCATGTGGAGATTATCGCGCTTTGAATAACGCTACGGTACCAGATCGTTATCCTATACCTCATCTCCACGACTTCTCCTTGACCTTACATGGAAAGACCATTTTTACTAAAGTTGACTTGGTGAGGGCATATCATCAAATACCAGTCGCTCCAGAAGACATTGCAAAAACAGCAATTATTACGCCTTTTGGATTATTCGAATTCTTGAGAATGCCTTTCGGACTAAAGAATGCTGCTCAAACATTTCAGCGTTTTATGGACCAAGTTACCCAAGGTCTTGATTTCGTCTTTGTATATATCGACGATGTCTTAATTGCCAGCTCATCGACGGAAGAACATATGCAACACTTAAGCTTGTTATTTCAAAGGTTTGAACAATTTGGAGTTGTTATCAATCCAAAGAAATGTATTTTTGGTTCCCCTTCCATTGAATTCTTAGGACATCGAATAACTGCCGAAGGCATCAGACCTACCGAAGATAAGATAGAAACTATTAAGAACTTTCCCGAACCTGATTCCTTAAAGAAACTTAGACGTTTTCTCGGGATGTTCAACTTCTACCGACGTTTTATTCCATCATGTGCCTCCATAGTTCAGCCACTGACCGACCTACTTAGATGCAATTCGAAGAAATTTCAGTGGTCTGAAGAAGCAAAAGCAGCATTTAATAATGCAAAAGATGCCTTATCCAACGTCGTAATGTTATCTCACATCAACCCAGAAGCTTCACTCATTTTATGTACAGATGCATCACAGGTAGCAGTGGGGGCAGTATTACAACAAAAGATGAAGGGCGAAGTCACCCCACTCGCATTCTTTTCTAAGAAGTTGGAACCGGCTCAGACACGATACAGCACTTTTGGGAGAGAATTGCTGGCCATATATCTTGCAGTGAAGCATTTCAGTTACTTACTACAGGGCCGGCATTTCACTATTTTTACTGACCACAAGCCCCTGTGTCATGCTTTCACTACTTCACTTGATAAACACTCCCCTAGAGAAGCCAGACAGTTGGATTATATCTCCCAATTTTCAACCGACATTCAGTACATCAAAGGGGATGCGAACGTGGTAGCCGATTCTCTTTCAAGAAGTGACATTAACCAGCTCCAAACGTCGGTAGACATCAGTCTTGATCGTATGGCTCAATTACAAAAAGATGACGTTGAACTCCAAACCTGCCGCAGAAACTCTTCCTTACAACTCAAAGATGTGCCTATCCCCTTATCGGATGCAACCATAGTCTGCGATGTATCTACCGGCACTAATCGTCCATTTGTCCCTCTCAGTTGCCGAAAAGCATTGTTCGAACATTTACATTCGCTTTCCCACCCTGGAGTACGCGCCACGGTCAGGCTGATCGGCGAACGCTTCGTGTGGCCTAAAATGAACTCTGACATTCGGAGATGGGCACGAGAATGTATCCAATGCCAATGCTCCAAAGTACACCGCCACACTATTACAACCCCGAAGACGTTTAAATTACCCGAAAGGAGATTTCAGCATATCCATATAGATATCGTGGGACCATTGCCAACATCAAGGGGATATACACATATCCTGACAGCGATTGATAGATTTACTCGTTGGGCTATTGCATGCCCCTTAAACGACATATCTGCTGAAAACGTTGCTTTAGTTTTTCTCGACCGTTGGGTGTCAAACTACGGTGTACCAACTACTATTACATCCGACCGCGGTCCTCAATTCCAATCGACACTCTTTCGCGAACTGACGAGACTTCTGGGAGTGAAACATATCTCCACAACAGCCTATCATCCGGCAGCGAATGGTCTAGTGGAAAGATTCCACAGACAACTGAAAAGCTCCCTGATGGCGCAGAATGATACATCTAAGTGGAGTGAATACTTACCTTTGATTTTACTTGGTATCCGTTCTACTATCAAAGAAGATTTAGGATGTACACCGGCTCAACTTGTCTATGGCACCAACCTAACCTTGCCTGGACAGCTAGTCCCCTCAGCCGATTCCACAGACGTGAACATTGCCGACTTCACTAACCGATTAACTAGACAAATGCTTCAACTTCAACCAACAGCACCTCGACAATCTCCCCGAAGAGATCAGATCAACAAACATCTACAAACTTGCAAATTCGTCTTCATTCGAGTCGACGCCATCAGAAAAGGATTGCAACCTCCATACGAAGGACCCTTTCAAGTTATTAAACGTTCAGACAAACACTTTACAGTGAACAAGAATGGAAGACGAGAGACTGTTTCAATTGATCGAATCAAACCCGCATACACCGACAACGACTTCGAATCTACATCGGCAGCTGCGCAATCAAATAATCAAACATCCGAATCCCCTCCACCGGCACCAAGTCTTATCCTCCCTCCATATCACACACGTAGTGGTCGGCAAATCAGTAAACCGGCTCGCTACGTTCATTTTGAGGACTAACAAAAGAAAAATAATTAAAAATTATTATTATCTTTTTCGTTTAGACATTATCATCATGACGGTTAGTATTTCGTCGTAAACTTTGATGTTACTATCACTATTATTTATTTATATGTACCTCACCGAAAAAACAGGTAGTGTCCTTTCCAAAAACTATTGATCTTTAATCCATATTTTTTTAAATGTTTCTTTCCCCTCCTTAATTACTGTGTATTTACATATTTTTCTTTATACATTAAAAATCTATGTTCATGGTTAGTGCAAATTTAAGTGACATGACTTTCTCTTTCAATTTTTATTGCTGAACCAATTGTATATGCTTTCAGACTTTACATGACTCACATACCTTCTCGCGTTTATGCATGTTGTAATATATCCCTATTTTTATCCAAAAGTTGCTATTACTATTATTATTTTACTTCATAGTTTTACTTTCTTTTCCCGGTTGTCTCTCCGGACCTCTAGGGGGGAGCCGTGTTGAGTACGTAACAATGTGATTGTACACTTTTTGGTTACTTGTATAAATTCGAGATATTGTACATAATTTTTGTTTAAAACGCTTCTTGTTGAAATATACATAACTTCCGTGTACAATTGAAAAATACACTCTGCTGTTGGAGACTTCGTCTTCTCCCTGGTCACTTCTGCTTACTTGCTCCACTCACACCGTGTTGTATACTTCGGATTTATTGTAGGAGCCTACTACTTTCAACCGAAGACATTTCTACAACCGGAACACAGCAGCTACAGCAGACGCAGTCCAAACAGTTAACGTGCCTGTGGATTATATAATTAATTTGTAGCCGAGGACTTATACGTTATCTTCAAGTAATCCTTTTTGTTGCTATAACTCGTCACTGTATTTTTGGTAATATATTGTGATTTAACACTCCACTGACTTGGATTATTACTTTTATACTTGGAATGTTAGTGAACTCTAATATTAGTCCCCTACACGTTTGTTCCTCATGTTTGGCAGTAAGATCTCGTTTACCACTAATCACTAGCTTACTTTTTACTGGACTCTGTGTTTGTGTGTGATTATGAGTTTGTGTGGTCACTTGTTTTTCCTCTGTCGCTCGGCTTTTACCTACATGAGTATTCTTTAACTTTTTCATTCTTTTCGAAAGATGAGACGTCGACCATCAACTCAAAGTACTGTTAGTATTAGAAGAAGCAGAAGATGTAATTTGGCTAGTGCGGACTATTTTCCTCCTTGATTGAGGCTACGACCACAAACCAGTACGGCGACTACTACTACCACTACAGGTGCTACTACTACTACTACTACTACTTGTGCTACAGGTAATTCCACTACGCTGTATAACACTATTTTGAATGAACGTCGTCACCGCCTGCGTAAAGTGATTCGACAGGTGTACACTTGTGTATGTTTTAGTAATCGAGTAGACAAATGGAAACATGTACATGATTGTTTAACAAATAATGCCCACCTGTTATCCGAACAGATTTCTAAGCTTACTGTGCGCTCGATCCCTACCACTGATGATGGTCATAACGATATATCCCGTGAGTTAGAATCTTCTCCGATGGTTGCCAACAATATTGGTTATCCAGTCTCACTGGTCGATCCGATCCGAATTCCACATGCCTTTGATTGTCGTAGTTCATTTGGTATAGAAATCAACAGTGAAATTCATCATAAAAATGTTGTAATGATCCCTCATATAGATCCACTACCGGGCTTTACTATGTGGTCAAAAGTGCAGCAAAATTTCTCTGTAGAAGATGAGAGAGAGAGGGTTGACTAACTTACCGTATATTGGCGAGGCGCAGTTCGAGAGGATATGGAGTTATTTGAAGAGCCTTTGACCAATTATGGTGGTCGTTTTCATGGGAGCTTCCCATTTGAATTTGATGAATCTCTGCTTGTGCAGCTGGTTGACTTAACTAATACTGTCTGGTCAGAAATTATTTCGTATTGTGGTTTATCCATCGATGAAGAATCACCTGTGTTAGTGAAAGCTATTGAACATGCAAATGATGGGGAAGGCGAAACACAAGAGAATAATGTTGTCTGTGCTGGTTGAAGTCGGTCTCTGTGTGAATCTAATGATAAAAGCCTAGTAATGAAGGGATTGAGACCAGATGCAAACAAGGAAGGAGAATATGCAAGGCAAGAGTATCTATTGATTCCACATTAATGTCAGCCACGTCTCGTAAACCGTCAATGCCCAGCTCTTGCTACACTGGGACTCATGCTGTTCCTTGAAGTTTCCCAGAAACGCATAGTAATAACGGACGCAAAACCAAAACACCGATTGGCTACTCGAGAATTCCTTATTGTAACACCAACATATAGGCAGCTTTAAAATTAAGTTTTAACTAAGGTCTATGAACAAATATTACAATAATAAATCACAATATTACTTCTGACAGTTTTGGTCTGACTTCTTTCTAAACAGCGACCGATGAGACGATGACTGGTGTATCGATGTCTCCGCGAAAATATAGGGAAGTTGGGTTTGAGCAAACAACCATGAATTGATCGTTCAATCTTCAACTACATTGACAATTAATGATTGATTGTTGTGATGAACATTCCTCCTGGGACTTGATTCACGTTTCCTTTCCCCTCCTTCCCTTCCTTTCTTTGTTTCTAGAAACATGCGCCCCTTATTTTGGTTCATGGTGTGTCCGCAAGTCGGTGAACTACACCACCGGACAAGACTCAATTAATAATAATAATAGCAATGATGATAATAAAGGTGAAGCAATACAAGGAACTAGCAACGTAAAAGTGAGTCCTGAAGAAAAATGTCCATATGAAGCATTAGCTCCATTGTTTATCCCTTGCGGGCATCCATCTTTTAATTTGTACAACTGGTGTTGTAAAATGTCGCAATTACTTGTGACGAAGAGGTGTTCCGACGTAAGTTTTTCACGCTTTAGTGTTTTCTGTTAAGTGTGTGATCACTTTTGAACGCTTGCTTTTATCTTCTGAAGTGTGATGATGTCGTAATTGTGGTTGTTACTGACCTGTATCTACCTACTGAATCATAGGTACTTTGGCTACTGTGGTTTTGAATAGGCTGGTAATACCGGTTCGGTCGAATTGACAAATTAATTGAAGTAGCTTATTTTGGAATGGAAATAGTCTGCAAAGGCGACTTACATGAACTGTTTAGTCCGCATGGTTCCACTATCATAGATGCCACAGAAGTTTAAGTTAAATCGAATTTTGGGTTCCTTGGACTGTGTATTTCCTCTGATCACCTTTCCTGGTCTTCTCACATAATGTTAGTTTCCAGATAGAAATTTCGTTTGACTTTCTTCTGCGTGAGGAAGAAGTTCGGACGATCTGGTATCATTCCTTCCCTACTTTCTGAATCGGTTAAAATTTGTGGTCTGCCTACCCTTCTTTACTCTCCCCATTAAATCTTTCTTGGGCTGATTAAGAAATAAGTTTTCGTAATACCGTGAAGGGCACTAGAAGCCGTCAGTAGGGCGGATTGGGTGTCGGAAAACCAACTCGTTAATACTATCATGGATAACTACATGGACTCCTCCAAGAAATTAGCAAACATACTCTGAGCACCTCTATATACACCGATGTGTGCTTTCACCTCATTGCGTAATAATCATAATAATAGCTATATTCCAAAACAGTACCAATGATACAGCAAGGAATTTTCAGCATTCAGTACAATATTGCATCTAATTTACTCAAAAACGACAAAAAAAATTAAAAATACACAATACATAATAATAATAAAAAGAATGTTATAGCAGCTACATAGGAAAATACCATATGCGATACGGAGAAAAATATGCATAAAGTATAAAATTGTAGTGCTAATATTAATACCAACTAAAATAAAATAGCAGAGTTATGATTAAACGATAGAAAGTGTGACACTATAAAATACAGTAAGATGAACAATGAAAGGGTCGATTTACTGTGCTAATTACATAGTAACTTATGTGTTCCACGTCTAACAGAGTCTTCGTCACATAAAATACGGGCCAAATAGGGTACTGTAGAATTTCTGTACTCAGTGGTACGAGCATATAACTTTTTATATTGACTTCTCGTCCTACCTGATGAGATACAGGGGGATGGTTGTGAATAAGGGGGGTGCAGAGGGTCTGACAGTTTAGCCTTTGCCCATTTTGTACAGGAATTTACGTGTCTCTCGACTATAGTATTGGCGAGCTCACGCAGTGGCAGACCACAAGCACTACTCACAGTATTTGATACTCTTCGTAATATGATATAATCTTTTTTGAGCAGCCCAGGAAAGATGAATGGAGAGCAGTAGAGTACAATAGGTAAAATACAGGAGTTTAAAAATTGCAAAACTAAAGGTTGGTTGATACCTGATTGTCTTAACTTTTTAATGTAGAAGGTAAGACGAAACATTTCCTTAGAGATAGATAAGATGTGGGATGACCATGAAAGGTCAGAGGAAAGAACTAATCCAAGGTATTTAATGCTTGACTTGGTTTCAATTTCCGTGCCATCTATGCTACAGGCATCATGCGAACTAACCAGTTCATGTAAGTCACGTCGATGCTTGAAAGTAAAGTCAAGCACCTGACATTTGGAAGGATTTAACATAAGACCATTTGACTTGGACCACTTGTTGATGTCCAACAGAAAGCTATTAAGTCTGGAGCTGTCAGACTCGGAAGTGATAGGCAGTGATACAGTCAGATCATCTGCATGTTTGACAAAGTTAGTTTCGTTTGAATGAGGCAGGTCATATAGGAAGAAAGAAAAAAGAAAAGGAGAGAGGACGGCACCTTGGGGAACACCGGATTTTGTAAGCGAGGTAGAAGAAGATTTACCATTATATACAGTATATTGCATTCTATCAGAAAAATAGGAATGCAACCATCTCTTAGCCCAGGATCTTGTTTGTGTCAACGATAGCTTATTTAATAAAAGGCCCCTAGGTACAGAGTCAAAAGCAGATGTGTAGTCTAAGAAAGCACTACGAACATATTTGGCACCTTTGTCTAAACAAGAAACAACATTGTGATATAAGACAACCGCAGCATCCAAGGTACTTTTACCATGTTTGTATGCAAATAGTTTAGTATCGTTAAAAGGTTTCAATGAGGGTTCAAGACGAAGTAAAAGTAATTTTACATCAATTTTAAAAAGGAAGAAGTAATTGCAATAGGCCGAAATTTAATATCAGTATCAGAAGATGGTTTTGGTATGGGGATAATTTTAATGTTTTACCATGCAAAAGGTAGAACGTTGCCGGAAAAAGAAGCATTAAAAATATTAGTAAGAGGGTGACACAAAGTATCAGCACAATTCCTGGGGACAATGGCAGGTATGTCATCACTATGGAGGTTGGCAGCGTGCTTTAAAATCTACACCCATACATGAGACCACTGTTTCGGTTATCATTAGTACCAACTGCCGGTCCCTGCTTAACAAAATTCTGGATTTTCAGTCCCTGTTGTCGTCCGGAATTTACCACAATACTGGTATTGTCACTCTACAAGAAACTTGGCTCCATGACTCACATGATGACAATATTGTGTCTCTAAATAATTTTAATGTATTCCGACAAGACCGTGTTTGTTCAAAGAAAAAATGTGGCGGAGGTGTTGCAACTTTTATTCGCTCAAAATGGTCCATTTCTAACAATGTTTGTTTCAAATTCTCGAATGACTACATTGATTGCATCACTGTGAGATGTCACCCGAAACACCTGTCAAAATACAAATTAATTTATATTTCTAATGTTTATGTCTCTCCTGGCTGTACCATATTGGATTTATCTATGTTCGCTGATGAGTTCACCGCTTTTGCTGCAGCTTGCTTCGAGAACTCTTTATCAATAGTAGTTTAAAGGTTGACGGATATTAAAGGTTTGACGTGATATCTCGTTCAACAACTTCTAATTAATTTATTCTCGCGTACCGAAGACAAAGCAAAAGCCAATAATTGATCGTCCAAACCAAGCGATATATTTAGAAGCCAAAACAAGCCGTTAGACGAACGCTTAGCTAGCTAGTGATCGTGCACGTGACACGACGAGGTACCAAATGGCGGGGATGCTTGACCGGAAGCCTTCAGCTAAACAAGTCGACTTAAACAGTGGTGGTCAGCATCCAATGAGTGATTGCTGTGGTCAATAATTTTGGGGAATTATTTACCGCTACAGTAACTGGTGATTTTAATTCATGCGATCACTCCTTCCTTATATCGCTTGGTCATGACAATATTGTTAACTTTGCTACCCGTATTGGTAAAACACTGAATCTAGTATTTATCAATGAGGTTGGTATATATGAAGCTCGCAAACGTACTCCTTTACTTAACTCTGACCACTGCATCATACGTGTACTGCCTAAGATATATTCCAATTCACACAAAGGTGTCCTCTCTCACCTCTACAGTAAAGTTCAACGGAGATGCTACTCACAAGACAACCTAGACAAACTCAGATGCATGGTGAAAGACACTAACTGGGACTTATTTACAGAACAAACATTAAATGACACAATCACAAACACTACTGATTATCTTAAATTCTGTTTTGAAATATGTTGTCCTAAAGAAACATTATTCATTCGATTTGATCGCTTCTCTTCGCCATATCTCAAAAAGCTACGTAGAGATAAAGAACTGTTGTTCAAAACTAATGATAAGCTTGGTGTAAAAAAGTTAAACTTGCTGATAAAACTGGAAATGAAAAGACTAAATGTTTTACATAATCAAAGATTTTTGTCATGTAAAATGGCCCTATCTTTTTCATTGTTAAGTGGTTGTTAATATTTTCACTTAATTTTATATTCATTTTCTTATTGAACAGTGTTATCGAAGTAAAAACCCTGTTTTGATTATTACTCCTGTAATGAGAAGGTTAGATGCAATACTGTACTACAAACTGAAAATTTCCTTATATGTACGATTCTTCTTTGTCTTCTTTTTTCTCTCACCATTTTAGCTTCCATTGGACTTTTTGAATGAGAATGATTAATGTGGATGTTTGACCATTTACAATGACAAATGATCTGCAAACATTATTGATCCCATATCTTTCAGTTGCCTAGTTAATAACGA